TGCAAAGATGTACGTTGAAAGTTTGGTTGAGTAACCTAACTAATGGATCCCATAAATTAGGGTCGTCGTTAAATTATGAGTTAAAATCAAAATGTGTTTCTACACATCACACACAGAAACGCTTAACACTGCGTTGCAGAAACTTTTCACCTTGTTGACAATATTAAATTATTCCCTATTTCAAAATAATGTAATTGAATACAAGTGCTAGTTTGCAGAGCAATATAAATTAATAAAGCCGCGTCAATTCGCCAAGTTGGTCGTTAATTATCAACCAACGAGCCCGCTAGTGATGCCAATGTTAGCGGTTATCATTGCCGTTTAAATTTGGGGCTGTGGAATCCATATTAAATTCTATATGTAACAAACTGGTTTTTTTATTTTGTACCATAGACTTTACTAATCAACTTTTTTGTTAGAGAGTACTCTAAAAATCCGCTAAATGGCATTGACAATTTTTACTAAATTTCTGCATTGCGGTGTTAAGATTTTCCCTCGAATGGTGACTACCTGAACCGGATTTTATTTATGTGTTAGAAACGTCAGAACTGTCCATAAGTTTCTAAGAGTTGAGTCCTTGTGGGAACGACTGCCTGGATCTATCTAATAGTGTTACTTTTAATTTTATACTTTTTTTGCATTTGTATGTGTAGTACCGCTGCCGTCGGTTAGAATTAACTTGGCACCTTGTATAGTATATGATATACTTTTTTTGGAGATAAAGCTTGAAACTGGACTGGAAGTTTTTACTCAATCTGGTGACGTCATCAAGTACGAAATAGAATCCCTTTATATATATATAGATTTAGACGATAATACAATTCCGGAGTGGTGGTAGCCCAGAGAATGGTTGATTTTCATTTCAGAGGTCAACTGTTTTGAAATGCACAAGTTTTCAAAAAGGTTCTGTTTATGGGGGGTCTATTCTCGTTCTCTGGCCGATATCCGTTCGAAACAATTACTGTCAAATAAGTAATACTCGGCTCGAGCAAGTCAAAAGACAATACCAAGTATGAAGCTCCATTCGATTTGGTCGAGTATTACTTATTTTTAACCGACTTCCAAAAAGGAGGAGGTTCTCAATTCACCTGTATGTTTTTTTTGTATGTATGTTATGCGATAACTCCGGTATTTGTGCACCGATTTTCATGATTCTTTTTTTGTTGGAAAGAGGGTACCTCCATAGTGGTCCCATTTAATTTTGAAGAAAATCATCCACCTCTAAGAGTGGCTGTTCACGCATGAAGATTCATTGTTATAAATAGCGCCTAAATCTTATTACAAGGAGCAATTATTTTAATGGTTGATGTTGCTATTCTCTAATTCAAGGCGTTTTTCTCTCAATATACTTTCAGCAGTGAGAACCGATTTTTATTATCTCCTGTGTCAAGTTCCGTATAGTGGCGAACTAGGGATTGAATCCGGGTTTGCGCACTTTCCGGTAACCGATTTAAAAAAAAACTTGGCAAATAAGTAGATGTAATTTCACGTACTTTTGAGGTCGGTTTTTTAGTACTCTGTACTGAGATTATACAGTAATTGTTTCGGACGAAGAACGAGAGTACAGGGCCTGGTTTGACAGTATTGACAGCAGGTTTCTGTTTAATTGAGCAGCAAGTATGTAGAAAAGAGTAGCTGTCCCCGAGAAACTTTGGTTTTGTGGCTGTCACAGTTTACATATTTACATACATAGTGTTGTTTCTAGGTTCTTTGTTAACAATTTGTAGAATTTTGGTTGAAATACACTTTTGATTTGAAATATAATATTTCCTTTTGGTCTTTAAATAAAGAGACATTCGAAAATATGTACATTTCCTTAATGGTATGCAAATTTTAATCTTTCTTTGTTTAAACCACATTAGCAAAGCTTTGCAGCGAGATAAAGTTTTTTCATGTTTTTATGTAAGAACCAATTAGAAAACGATATTGATAACCCAGAAAAAATAATCGTGTTACATGGTGATACCTGTGGTGGCACGTATCTATGGCTTTAACTACTGACTTACCTTTTTTGTGAATTATTAGTAGCAATACTTGTAACTAACGCTGAAACAGAACAGTACGATGATACCTTCATGTCGCAAATGGTTTAAGAAATTTGGAAAACGTGTGAAGTACCCAAAGTGCACTGGGTCAGCGTAACATAAACCCTCTCCTCCGAGGAGAACAGTGGGCAGCAGTATCACGTATTGTTGACGTACAATCCACAAACTGGTATGAGTAAAAGACCAAAGCTAAGAATGAAGTTGCTATAAGTTCTTCAGTTAAAGTGGAAATGGGCCAGATACATTCAGAGAGCTAAAACCGTACGGTATACGTGGATAGACGTACGACAATATGTTTATTACGACAAAATTATAAGTGTAATCCAAAAAATCCGTCATTGGTCTTAACACTGATTAGCACTAAGTACATTTTACTTGTATTAGGCTGTTGATTTTCTTAAATAAATGAAAAGAAAAGCATAAGCCTGGAAGACCGTGCGATGACACGGTTAAAATAGCAGACAAAGTATGGAGTAGAGCCGCTAGAGACAGAGATAGGTGGAGGTGGCTGTTATCCCTAAAAATGCAATCCTTAAAGAAAGAAATACAGCTTTTATTATTATTGTTGTTATTAATACAACCGCATAAATCGATTCATGTCGTAACATCAAAGTGCAAACGAGGATTTCAACTTTTCAAGAGACAGAATGGACAAGGGAGTATGCAAAGCCAATTGTTTAACAGTTTACTAATTTAACCTTAGGCAATTAGCGGAATTACTCAGAGAAAAACTAATATAAAAAATTTAAAATCGAATCACATACTTCGATTAGTATAGAAATTATTTTCCGTCCCAGAATTGCGTACTCCTATGGTGAACGAGTAGAATTGATGGAGTGATGTCAACGCGTCGACTTGGCTGGCGGTTAATTATCCGAGATGCATCCCCGCACCTCTCGCGTCGCCACCGACGCTAGAACTCATTTTAAGGCCAATTTATATTGAACTGACCTACTTCTCATACTTCCACATCAATTATAAGCTATTTATTTTACATCCTTTTTTAAAACTCGTTGTATTAGGCGAATACCATCATGTTTTAATTGTTTTTATTAGCAATGGAAATGATCGCTAGCCTTGGTGATAAGGGAGTTTGTTTGGATCTATTTTATTTTATTTTCTAAGGGGAGCTTACAGCTACTTTTACAACATGGATTTAAGTATGATTAATCATATGCCAATTTTAAGCCACATAAGAAAATAACTAAATAACACGTCTATGAGAGCACAACACTCGTTTTATCAGTCACTGGAAAAGAGGTTATTAGTCATAATAGTTTTTATATTCTTAACGCTGCTGTTACAGAAAAGTTGCGGCCGTAATAATTTAGTTGGTTAAATGATGTTAATGATCTTGGTAGATAACTATTAATTCTAAAATTAGTACGACTAAATGGAACATTAAGAAAATTATTCTTACGAAACGTCTTAACTGGAACTTGAGTATAATGTTAAGTTACTGAGGAGCTCTGGACAATCGGTCTTATTCTGTGAAATGTTTAGCAGAAAACACGCATCAGCTTTATTTCTCCGCAGATATAAAGGTAACAGATGAAATTTTTCACAACGGTGTAAGTACTCCATATGGAGTAGTTAAATTTGTAAATTAAAAATTTTGTAAATTTCTTCTGCATTTTTTCAATGCTGTTAGAGTAAGTGTCGTAGTAGGGATTCATATACAGGTGTTATTTCCAGTAAGTACAGTCTTAAAAGATATTATGGTGGCGACATTCAACTTGATTATAAGTTTGAATAGCGTCATGAAATATAGATATATAGATAATGGTGTATCTACCGATTTCAACATGCAATTTTTCAAATCAATTTTCATTTGGAAAATTCAGTTTTATTCCTTCGTTTTCAACTCATACACCTATTCTTGTCGTGTGGAGGTAAAAGGCTTTTGTTCTATAAGGCATTTGTTATTTGAATTACATAACTACTTAATCTTTATTTTTGGTCTCCTTTTATGGATTTTATTCTTCACGAAACATATTATGGTATAATTTTAGGCTTTTCGTTATGGGTAACATTATCCGACAAACAAATTGTTTTTTTTACAAGTGGAATGTTATAGCTACAATTTATTGTTTTAATATTTTTTATTATTAAAATTATAAATTTGTTGAGCTTTACAAATCACATTTTGAGTACATTAAAGCTCGTAAAGTCTTATAAAGCGCCTTTAAATAATGCGTAAAACAAAATGTTGCGTTGCATAGTGCAAGTTAACGCTGAGGACGGAACTACTCGCGATCGTAAATCCTGATCGTAAACAGACAGTCCATACGGAGACGGCGCCAGTTCGGAATGGAAGTCTGTTTATGCGACGACTGACGCCTCTAAACTGCACAGCTCTCGTCAAAACTGCTGTAAAACGTATGTCCACGCTTCTATAAATCTTTGCAATCGAATGATGATTAAACGATTACCCATCAAAGCTTTTAGGACTTGCAACACTATATCGCACACTGAAATCAATATCGTCACTAAACGAAAATGTCAACTTTTGAGAAAGGACCTTCAATATTTTAAAAAATAAGTTTGTAATAAGTTTGAAAATCAAAGATTTTCGTTTAGTGATACTATTGATGTCAACGTGCGATATATTATTATTCCGAAGACAGTTAACGGAGGCGACCGATGGACTGTTGACTTCAACAAAAGCCTTTCTAAATGGAGGATTCTTGATTGGTATGCTTAGCGTTACTGCCGCTCATCTTCTGAATTATTGTATTCTTTAGACGTTTTCAGCGAAGTAGGTGGTTCTAACGTGTATTCAGCCGAGTCAACGTTTGTATCATTCTGGCTTATTAGGTCACCGAGAGCCACCGACCCGTATTAACATTGGTATTTTAGACACGGCGCGCATATTACATAATCTCTAATATATATATAAATAACACAAATGCAAGTCTAGCTTGGTCAGTTCATTTAGAGAGGATGTTAGTGTACCTGATGCGGCGTATAGGGGCTGGGAGCTGCCGCGTAAGGCTGAGGTTGCGGCGGCGGGTAGCGGCAGGGCTGCGGCGCGTACGCCGTGGCCCACTGCTGCGCGCCGCCGCGGAACTGCGCGCCCGCGCTCGCCATGCGCGCTGCGCACGCGCCCGCGCCCGCGCCTGCGCCTGCGCTCGCGACCGTCACTGCGCCCAGGCCTCCGCCCGTGCCTACAGACGAACGACACCCGCCGCCGCTCTGTTAACAATCACAAAAACAGCAAATCAGCATTTTATTGTACAAAGTTTCAACTGCAAAGGAAGGGTTTACATCACAGACATATATCTAGATATGTCTGTGGTTTACATAGTACAAATACAAGTGCGTAGGTAGAGAAATCTCTTACTTTTAAAAAGAAGAAAATACGAATATTTCATTCATGTTCTAGTGGGTTAAGGACAGTCACAATTTAATATCACTGGTGGAATTACAAATTCCTGGTAGTACACAGGTACATAGTATGAAGTAAGATTTCTTAACCTTTTAAGTTCAATTATGAAAAACGTATTTACATACGTAGCGATCTAAAAAGGTCTAAGAAACCTAACCTAAGTACTACAACCAAATTTAAATTTGGTAGATTTGATGTAAACTTTATCTTTTATAGATGGCTGAACGAAAGGAACGAACTTAGATCGGAGCAACTTGAACTATCGTTACGTTCAGTGTGATAAAACAGTAGTGTTCACTTGCTACGGGAAGGTATCTCTCCGTTGACATATAGTTAAGCACCTTGTAGCAAAAAGATAAAACTATAAATTGCAGCTGGTCATCGTATTCATGATAACAAACAATTTATAAAAATGTTGGCCCCATACGATTATCCTATTGTCCGCAATAATTTTATAATATGGGACACTCATTTTTATTTTTATAAAAAGTTTTTGTTTATAATTACTATCTCAGCTAGAATATGCACGCACGTTTTTGTTACAGAATGTTTAAATATAGAAATTAATTTAATGTATATCTATTTACGTATTTAAAAGGCAAACAATTTTACGGCAGTATCTCAAATATGCTGGTGGAGGTGTAAATACTACAGAGACCACGATAAATTAAACTTTCGTGTCTTTCACACGGAGTTGGCTACTTTCACTAAAGTGCTCATTTATATAGTTAGACACTCTGCACTCCACGCATCGTAGTTGTGACAGTATCAAATTACCCGCTGGTGTGTTAACTCAACTCTATTCGGTGGATGTGAACGTAAAACCTTTTATGTGTACCTCGTTTATTCGTTTTCTACTACAAAGTCTGAGTTTAAAGTCTTCGCAACGAACTAATGCGGTAGACTGTACGAGATACCTGTGTTGCCTGCAAACATGTAAATGGTTTGTTTTTTACAACAAATAAAATAGGATTGGACGACATCCGTAGTCGAGTGGCTTGCATACCGGTTTTCATGGTGTCGCCATCTCTGAGGTCCCGGGTTCGATTCTCGGCCGGGTCAATGTAGAAAACTATATTGTCCCGGGTCTGGGCGTTTGTGGTAAGGTCGTTGTTTCCGAATTCCATAATAAAAGTTACTTACTTTGGGATCAGAGCTCCGGATGTGACGTCGTCAAATATTTATAAATAGCGCCATTTTATTACAAGGAGCAATTATTTTAATGGTTGATTTTGCTATTCTCTACTTCAAGGCGTTTTCCTCTCTCAATATACTTTGAGTAGTGAGAACCGATTTTTATTATATATACCTGTGTCAAGTTCCGTATAGTGGCGAACTAGGAGATGAATCCGGGCAAAAAACTTGGCAAATAGATGTAATTCCACGTATTTTTGAGGTCGGTTTTTTAGTACTCTGTACTGAGATTATTTATATTATATTTATTATTGAATAAAAAATCAAAAGTGACTTAATATCCTATAGCATGTGGTTGTAACTAATCGCCCGAGAATCCTATAAAGTAAAGTATGTACATAAACACTTAAGTGTGTCTGTGATATAATCAAAGGTAACCTTACGCCTACTACTATGTAGATGTAGCTACCGCTTATAGTGTAATACACTGCTCCTTTAATGTACAGGACTCTTATATATAAATCCTCTGTGTTATATAAGCAGAATTCTGACAACTACTGTGTAGGCAGTCCCTGCAAAACAGGTAGGTAAATAATTCGATATTCGCACTTCAATAGCTTGTGAGTTGGTAGATGGAAGCTGGTTGCATCACGATGCTGACATAGATGTATGACTGCTAGAGATTGGCATCCGATGACCGAGAACCGTGACGAGCGCGTCTGCCGACTTTCGCGTCCGTCTGGTGTAGGTACTTACTATTTTATCGCTTTTGCGCATTAAGTCTAGGTATAGCATGGGTTTTATTTTCACTGTTATATACTCCGCTTTATTATATATAACATCGTCAATGTCATACGCGTGTTCTTTGTTAATGATCTTTGTAGGTATTGATTTCTCAGTTTATGTTTTATGAATTTGAGCAAAAACAATTTATTTTTAGTAAGTGATTGGTTGACAAATGGCAAGTTATGAGCGTCACTTGGTCACGACCCAAGACAAATGCTCTACCCAAATCCCTACTTTTCAGAGATGTGATATGAAATTCGTTTAACGTACTTGTTATTCCGACCAAGTTTGTGCACCGAAAATGAGATTTATAGTGGCAATAACAATGTATAATTTTACCCGGCGACCCCCATCTTCGGACTTAATTATTTGAGTCACGGAATTCGAAAAACCGCCCAGGAAAGCCTGAGGGATCAGGGCTTTGTTGTCGTTTTTTCTCGGTAAATATCGTCCTATGACTATTTATTTTTTGCCACTGTAAAAAATAGGTGAGTATGGCTGTAAGGCGATAAGCCGGCAATCCGCTTAGTGTGCGTGGGTGCCCCGGCCAAGGAATTAGGGTAAAATATAGATTCCTAATGACGGTGTCTCGTAGCGTCCGGCCGCATGGGCCTCCGCTCCGTTTGACCCCTAATAATAACTGAATTATGCGCCCGTTTTAATAACTTTGAAATGGTACTTAACTACACCGTTCAAATTTAGGTGTATTAGCTCCGATATACCGAACAAAAGTCGGAAGTCGATGCATTAATAAACCAGAGACTTCGTAAGTGGCGTTCCCTTGTGGAAATCCTTGGCTAACTTATTCGGTTTATGCTGGGTCGTCGATTTGCATGCCCAATAGATTCCAAACTGAACTCTCTTGATCAAGAAATAAATAAAGGAGGCAGTGAGAACGCAAAGAATTGATACTGGATGCCATCGTCACGTCGTCGTCTATTGGCGAGAGATGTCGCGTTTTCTTGTTGGGGGAGTTAGTTTTATGTTGAGTGGGATTATTGGCGTCGGCGGGTCGCGCCGGTTCCGTCTCGACGCCGGTCGCAGCTTGTTGCTGTGTCGCCCACCCCTTTACGCCTACCAAGGCCCACTGCCTAACAGGGACATTTACTTGTACAAAACCAAGCATGTTTAAAAAATACATCAGACGTATTACTAGCATAGCGTGTTATCTTTTGAAAGGATATTGACACTTTCATGTACATCGGAATGCGGGTTGCGTGTTTATCAATTAAGTAGGTAATAATAGAGAAAAAAATTATGCACTTATTTAAATATGAAATGTGGTCATATACGTGTGCCTTGTGCGTGTATATTAGGGACCTATCTAAATTGAAGTAAAGGGCACATTCTTGAGTACTGCGTCGGGTACATAATCCAAAAAGGGACCACCCGCCATGAATCAACAAAGTTATTGTCCATTCAAACTTAGTTGAGTACAATTTCGTTGCGAGAAGAAATCAAATTCAAACTCTATCCGTAACTAAGTAAAATATCTTAATTTCATTTCGTGTCGAGTGGAGTACCCAGGAAACTCTGTCTAATTTATTCAAGCAATGACTGTCATTTTTAACATTATCGTTTTTACTGCTTATAATGTAGTTCATAGACATTTAATGTCTTTTTAAAGCTAGTGGCCATAGTCAATAAAGGGCAATAAAAGTGGATCCAGTGGGCACTGCACCGGCTCTTCTCGACTTAGCGTAACGGGGTTGAATAAAGCGAAGATTTATTACAGTAGCGTGGATGTATTTTAAAGTACATGGAGTGCACTGTGTGCATTGTAATTTTATAGTCTCTTACCTACTATGTTAAAGCATCCAATATCCAAGAATATTGGTTAAACGAATTGTTACACTTACTCTAAACTTCAGTCGTATTTTCTCTTACATTCAGAGTTTCACGATTTTATCTTTCCCAGGGATTCTGTTAAATTTAATGATTCTGATTAAAGTTAAAATTAAAGACATAAAACAATCAGTAATTTGACACAAGCAGCGGAGTGGCATAGCCCTGTAATTTTTGAGAGTCGGTTGTTTGTGATAAAAGATGTGTGTGAAAAGGAGTGGGCGACGTGGCGATCTTCTTAGACGAGGTCAATCTTTCGTTGCTAGACGGCTCCGCAAATTAGAAGTCTCAGACGTTTCAGCCAGTCACATCCCCCCACTGGCACCCCCGCCCCCTTTGTCTGATTGCCAGCAGATCGTGGAAAGCCGCAAACAAAGCCGCGATGACGAGCTCGGTTGTCTTCCCGGAATACCGAATGCCACCCCCAAATTGATAGTCTGTCAACGATGTAAGTAATTTGTACCGTGCAATCTGTGCCACATTACACAGCTTCCGGTAAACGTAATAATGCCAGACCTTCGACTCGACTGGTAACATTATTCAGCGCTTTTATTGATTATATCAGCGTTATGTTTTGAGACTAAGTAATAATTCTAGACATGCGTCAGTCGAACTTTGTAATACGTGTAATCCACGGAAAGAGAAGTAAACAAGAAACATTTATGCTATTCGACTCATCAATAGTAGTATAGTTCAGCTCGCGTGTTACCACTGTTAGACATGGTTGTCGCGCAATTTGCTGTTTTAACGAACCCATGATTAGATATAATAATGTACGGGCATGTGAAGTACCTACTGATTAGATACACATAATAACGTGTAGTAAGTTCGTAATATAGCAAAAAGATAGTAAAAAAAAAGCAGATGCAATGCGTGTATCATGTGAAGTAAGCGCAAGAAAAAAGAACCGCTGAGTTTCTTAACGCTTTGCGCTTTTCATTTAGTGTAATATTACAGGTAATTAGCGTGCAATTGAAATTCAAGTATGTGAACACATATAACATTGAACTTTAAAATTATTTATCTAACGATACTAATGAAC